TGCTACTTTCCTGGTTCCTCATTTTGAAGTCATTAGGAAATGCTACAAACACCAGGACCACTGTTCCCAGTCAATGCCCTTTTAATTGAAATAAGACTGCCCCATCAGCAAAGCCAGCTTCCAGCCTGGCCAGGCTCGTGCCTTCGTGAGTTCCCTGGCAAAGACCAGGCCTTTGCACACACAGTCAGAACATGAATAGACCATAAGCTAGCTGCTCACACTGATGGGGCAAAAGGACGTGGAGGTGACATTTAGCAGTAAGGTCTTTAGTTTTAGATTTTTTGGTGGTGGTTGGGGGTGGGGGGTCTCTATCTGGAATTGAACATAAGATCTTCCTAACAGTAAATCCTTCGCAAAGCAGGTACCATGTTTGCCCTGACAACCATGCACTGGAAGATACACCCAGAATTTATAAAGAATTCTAAAAAGTGCCCTGGCAGGTACTGGGAGATAGGTCTACCAAAAGTTATAAAACCCTAAAGTTCTCCAGTGAAAAAGCAAGGCTAGAGTTCAGCCAGGTGAGTGAGGGTGGCTGGTAAGCACAGAAGAGGACTACTGGAGGCCAAGTAACACTACAAGAAGTAGGAAGGGAACAGCACAGTATTCAGAGGTAAGGGATGACCACTAAGGAGCTTCACAGTGTGCAAGTGCTTATCCTACAGGGACCACTACAGGATTGTGTGCAGGAGGAAACATATAGCCCAAAGTGTATGCTGGGACATTCACTGGTGTCAAGTGGAATTGTAGGACACAGAGCAGGGAGACTAGAGAAAGCTCATGTCACTGCATGGGCAGGGGTGGGGTAGAAGGCAGCACAATGAAGCAATATTAGGAATGATAAGGGCTTAGTGTCCATTAGAAAAGGAAGTGTCCAACATACAACTATGTTTCTGACATGAGAGGTAGGAGGACAAGATGCTGCCCACCTGGGAGGCAACACAAAAAATAGTAAGCCAGAAATTAGGAAGACCATGGGACACTCAAGTACTCGTGGTCATCTGTATATGAATGAACATATCATCTAGAGCCCCAAAAGAGGTCTGAGCTGGAGATGGTATATGAAGCTACATGGAGTCAAGAGGACACTGAAGTACCAGTAGATGAGATGGGATAGAAGTGAAACTCTGGCCATACTGTAGTTTGAATGTCTATGTCCTCCTCAAATTCATATATTGAAACCTAATATCCAATGGGATGGTGTTAGAGGTGGGGCCTTAGGAAAGGGATTAGGCCATGAAGGTGTAGTCCTTGGAATGGGATTAGTGCCCTTATTAAAGTGACCCAAGAGAGCTGCCTTGCTCCTTCCACTATGTGAAGACACAGCTAAAAGATGCTGTGAACCAGAGAGCAGACCCTCATAGGCACAGAATCTGTCAGCACCTTGTCCTGGACTTCTGGCCTCCAAAAATTGAGAAACAAATCTGTTGTTTATGATTTTTTTGGTGTAACAGCCCAAACAGACTAAGATAGGAAACCACCAGCTATCCAAGACTAGACTGAGGAAAGGAGCAGCACAGTGGCGCCACAGGGTAGAAAGAGAACCAGAAGAGAGGGGATGTCAGAAGACAAGGGAGGAGGAATGACCATGTCAAACCTGAGGGCATAACAGGTAGGTCCTTACAGAGGGAAAAGGCCATGCACAATTCTTTAAGGGTCCCTCACTCTTTAAGAACAACTCAGGCCTGTAAAAAAAACCTCTGCTCAAATCATGAAGAGAACAGAGAAATACTAAAGTGTGCAGACAACACACAGAGTGATTGTTTTCTTTAATGGGGCTCTCTATTCCACTGCCAGTCACTGCACAGTCAAGATCTAAGGGGTTAAGAGTGTCAAGTAACACTGTATATTAGCACTATACAAGGGAGTGTTTCTCCATTATATCCACAACTTCACACACACCTTGACTTCATGTTTCTCTATATGTTCTCCCTACTAGTGGAGACAGCCAATGGAAGAAAAACTGAATAGGAGTCCTCTATACTTACTCTTTACAAACAGCCATCTAGTTAATGATGAACTCAAGGTAGACATTCTGTCTGACTCTATACCTGGCTCCTTGAGGGATCACTGAGGGTTTTGGCTAGACAGGTGCAGAGTATAACACCAGGGCAGTGGCCAGTCAACCAGAGAGATGATGAAGGGAAGAACTCCCAGCCTCAAAGACGGACTCTAAAGCAGCATTCTCCATCAAAAACAGAATGCAAGCCATAATGGCAAATGTTCTAGTAGCCATATTCAAAAGTAAAAAGCAGCAGGTGAATTGATTTTGATAACACATTTTACTTAATCTAACATATCAAGATTGAATTTCAAAATGCAATCAATAAAAAAATTACTAATGAGATATTTTTACAGCATTTTCTCCACATTACAGCTTGGAAGTCCAGTGTCTTTTCTGCGCTTCTAGTACCTCTCCATTCACACAAGCCATGGTTCAGGTGCTCAGTTAGTACAGATGTGTCCAGTGGCTACCATACGTAGACAGTGCATGTCTAAAAGAAATCCATGCAAAGGGCAAGGATTCCAATTAGGAAACATCTAAGAAATTGTGCCTTTGGCTTAGTTGTCAGGACAAGGTAAATGGAAAACAATAATACTGAGCACATTTATCAATTTTAAATGAGTACTCTATTGTGAAATCACACACACAAAAAAACACATCAACAGGACTAAGACAGCTGGCCAAGAAAAAGCTATGGGGTGTGGCCTTGGAGAGGCAGGCATACAGCCAATAGATTCACCAGCAACAGGGCCCAATTTCTAACACTCTTTACTTTTTCATTGTGCTTTTCCTTTTTCTCCTTTTAAACTTTCAACAACCCTAAGGGGAAGGCAGGATCCATTCTATATTGCAGATGAAGAAATTGAGGCCTAGGTAATTTAAATTACTTACTCATTCCTGGTCGGTGCTTTCAGACTTAAACCCAGAATTTAGGCCTCACTCCTGTCCCAGACTTTTCAGGAAGCAGTTGATCAAAAACAGCAGAAAACCCACAGTGAAACCAAAGTATCTGCTGAATCACAGAACAGGTGCCTGACAAATGTCTTTTTAAATAGCATCTCCCTTTTGTACAGAGCTTAGGAATTTTCAAAACACTTTTATACACGTATTTGATCACCAAGAAGGAATCATATAACTGCCCTAGGAACACACCCACTACAACCCAGAGAGGCTGGCTCATCCAAGGTCACCTGGGATGATCATCTCTATATCTAACTTCCCTCTACTATGCCATGCTGGCTCCCTTGATGACACCTTTTAAGATAAAATTCTAAAATGTCAAGGCTACTTTAAAAACATTCTGTTGTTTTTGCAAACCAGTGGTTAAGATAAGGACAGAGCACAGTTTTAATCAATCACCATAGTCCCTTTCCTCCAACTCTAACCCACTGATCCTTAAAGTGGCCTGTCAGCATTTTCATTTCTTTAAGGTATTGGTTGCAGCCAATGGGACTCCTGCCCTTTATTAATCAAACATTCACGCACACACTGATCAAACAAAGCAGAACTAAGAGTATGTGATGGGTCATAGAAATCACATCATTTACTGCTTCAGTCAGGCTGAAGGGGAACTAAACCTGCAGTGTCTGACCTTTTATTTGTTTATTTTATATACTTCAGGATTCAGACAAGCCTATCAATTTGAGATTTCTTTTTTTAATTTTTTCATTTTAGTTGTAGATGGACACAATACCTTTATTTTATTGGTTTTTATTTTATTTTTTTATTTTTATGTGGTGCCGGGGTTCTAACCTAGTGCCTTACGCATGCTAGGCAAGCACTCTTGCCACTGAGCCACAACCCCAGCCCCTCAATTTGGGATTTCTTGACTCCGCAGGACTAGCTAGAGTAAATAGGTTCCATGAGTCTTTAGCAGGGTCAACCATTTTTAAAAAATAGCTACTTATAGTAACATGCTGACATTCAAATAGTGAAAAGGATCTTCCTGGCCAATATACCTACACATTGCTGAATATAAATAAGGAAAACACCCAGAGCCACATTTTAGTTGGAGGGAAAAAAAATACCTCACTCTTAGGGTATTGATCACATAGAGCAAGAGCTCAGTTATTCTCAACGGAAAATAAGTATATCGCAGATAAATGAGAAGCTGCAAAACTGCAACACCTGACTCTTAAGACCACTGAATACTTTCCAAAATTTCTTCACAAAGTCATTTCATAAGATGTTCACAACTGTTTGGTGAACAGATTTAAAAGAAAGGAATAGAAACCCAAAAGTTTAAAAATGCACCCTGCTACATAGCTATCTGTAAGTACAGCCTGAATTATGAACTCCTGGGAACTGGTAAGAAGTCTCCCACCTCTACTAGATGCTCCCACCTAAACCAGGGCACCTGAGCACCACAATATCATCACTAAGAATCAAAGACCTCTTTCACAGGACATAAAGAAGTACTCTATTTTTCCTTTATTTAACCATGATCCAAGTATATTCATGCTAAGGAAGTCCTGCCTACCAGAAATAAAAATGTCCCTTGAGGTGAAGGATGAAAGAGCTGACACATAAACAGGTCCCAGCTGTCAAGGGTTAGGGACTTCCAAGCACAAAGGGTCCAACTCAACAGTATAGTAGATTAATTCTTTATATATTTAGTTGTTGATAGACATTTATTTTATTTATTTATTTATTTATTTATATGTGGTGCTGAGAATCGAACCCAGTGCCTCACACATGCCAGGCAAGTGCGCTACCACTGAGCCACAGCCACAGCCCCACAGTAGATTAATTCTAATATATGATTTGACCAGTATTGACAGCAATCATGAGGGCCTCCAACCATGCCACAGTCTTGCATTCCAAGAACACTCAGAAAGTCAACCAAGACCCCTGCTTCAAACCATGTCCTCAAGGAAGGTATGCCATATCCTAAATGCAATGACATCATCCACCCCATAGAACATGCGCATTCAGAAGAGGAAGGAAGGTACAGAGGAGAAGGAGAAAAATGAGAGATGCAGAGATCAGTGGGGCTTACTTTTCTGGCAGCGATTTGTGGTCCAACAGCGGTAGTTGTACTCATTATTGATGGTGGTCTTCTCACACAATGGCTTCTCCTCCATGGTCCCTGGACACAGGTCCCCACATTCCTTTGGGGGCTTGTTCCCCACAATATAATTATTGGACACTGCATCTAGGATCAAAGACCAGTCCACTGTGGAGAGGTAACAGAGATCAGCATTTTTTTCAATCCTGATGGCACCCCGAGTAATGTTCCTCAGGTTATAAAGCCCAATATCCTTGAGATTAGTCATCTCAAAGATGACCAGGGCGTAGTTGTAAAAAAGTTTCCAGCCGCGGATGACTGTGAGGTTCGGGAAGAGGTCTCCGAGGCTCTCTAGGCCAGCCACGCGGAACAGCAGCAAGTATTCAGTGATGACTGTGAGCTTGGGGAAACGGTAGCTGCGGTAGTCCTCAGCCTTGGAGATGAGCAGGATGTGGAGGTAGCCCTCTATCACCGTGCAGTTCTCCAGGCGCTTCAGCTGCTGATAGTCGTTGCGTATGTCAATGCCCGGGCCACAGACTGAAAGGAGACAAGAGGGCAAAGGCAGGACATGCCCCAGTTAAAAGGAAATCATTCTTTAAATATTTTCCAGCCCACAATATGAAGTTTGCAGAAAACCTATATTAAGGAAATAAGTCTCAATTCTTCACTGCAGACTAAAGTGAGGTATAGACTGAAGGCTGACTACCTGGGTAGCTGCCCAGTTAAGCTGTCATTTCTGAAGTGACTATTCTGGACCAAATGCTGATAAAATACTCACATGGACTGAGGGAAGGAACATCTACATTAAACATGTAAAGTGAAGCAGAGCCCAAGGTCACATGGGGTTACATGCAAAAATCAAGTTTGCAAACCCAGGCCAGCCTGCCTTCACAGCTGTCACACTTCACACTCCCTATCCTTCCCGAGAGCACCAGTTCCTGATGCCTGAACAAAAGTTCAAAGGCCAAGCAGCACCAACTTACTACTGCATCCAGCCTGTAGGACTCCAAGCAATAATGTCTATACTGAAGAACAGTCACCATGACCTGGACAGTGGGGACTCAGGTAACATGCTCCCATGAGTGTTGCTACCATTTGACATGGGCCAGGTGCCCTGTGTTCTCCCCAAGAGTGCATTTGTACAGACACAAGATAGAAAACATGATTTATGAATAAAAGAGGCATACAGTTCCAACTTTAATAGTTTTATTAATCAAGAAAGCATGCTTCCTATACAAAAGTTAGGTGATAACAAAAAATAATAAAAATCAGTGATCTCAACACCCAAAGATAAACAATGTTAATATTATTTATACCAATTATCCTGTCTCTATAAATAATTTAAGGCAATGAAATCAAACAATGTAACATTTATACATATACTTCTTCCACTTAACATGAACATTTTACCAAGCCAATAAATGTTCTTCTACACCATTTTTAAAAAGAGATAGTAATCCTAGAGTATGAATATGCATCTTGAGTTTTTATTTTTTTAACCAATCCCCCACTGTTGAATATTTAGTTTATATTCAGTATGTAACATTATAAACAATGCTCTAGTGGACATTCTTGACAGATATCCAGGAGTATTTACCTAGGATAAATCCTTAGAAGTGGAATTGTCGGCCAGTGTATTCACAGATTTTATAGGCTTTTGATAAAATAGCCTCAAAACTAGAAGACTTTATACTTAAAATTCTACACATATACACCAACAAACTCCCTTGATTATTGTACTTTCTTAGGATTTAATAAATCCCAACCCCACTATTATAGATTCTCAGAAAGAGTGAAATTTCCTGATTCATATAATTCATTAATTTGTGAAGCACCCCATTTGTATGACACCATGAGATGCAAATAGCTCTGATCTCTGAGGTGGTTTATGGTAAAGGCCAGGAGCTTAGACCCATGACAAATGACTGTCACACAAGGCAGGAGGAAGTAAGAGGAGTGCATGTGATATAGCCACACTGCATATGCACTCATCAGGACAGACAGAGGTGGCATCAGAGCTTCCCTGGCTCTCCAAGGGTGGTGGAATTTAAAAGTATGTATGACATTCCAGAGACTACAGACAAAGCAGAACAAGGTTTGTTCAAAAGACTGTACACAGGTCAAGGATATAGAGAGAAACAAAAATAATAATAATAAGTTTGGTAGAGACCAAGCCTTAATGAAGGATGTGTGAGGATGAGAACTATCATCTGTAGTATTAAGGTCCCTCTCAAGTCTCTGGAATGGGAGAGACGCCCAAGTGAGGTCTTTTGGAGGATTAATCTGGTGGCTGATACAGAACAGAATCAAAGTGGAATAAGTGAAAGGAGAACAAATGCCCCCCCCACTTTAGTCATAATGAAAGGAGAACAAATGCCACCCCCCCCATTTTAGTCATAAAAGAAACTGGGAAGAGACAGTAGGATGGGGGAAGATGGAGGGATCCAAGGAATTATGAGTGGGCAAAGTCCAAGAACCTGGGAAGGGAAACTATCTTTGGTCAATTTCCCTCATTTTTCTGAAGAGAAAATGAGACTCCTCAGAGAAGAGGATGGGAAGACACCAGCCCTTGGCAAACACCCAGGTGTGCTAGAAGCTCCTGTTGCATCATTTTTATCTCACATGATGTTCTAACCATCCCTCACTTGAGATAACATTATCACCACTTTACAGGTGAGAAAAAAGACCTGGAAAAGTCAAGTCTTATGAGCTGAAGTAGTAATTACTGGCTTGTCTTAAGACTACAGCATCTGTGGCCCACTTTCTTCCCCAGGGAATACTCATATAAGTTCTCATACACAAGACATAACTCCTTCATAGCGAAATTTGACACAAGATTTGCCAGCCATCCCAGACCACATCCTTACGGCCACTCTGACTGGGCCTCTGTCTCTACATAGCTCTTAGTTATGCCTTAGGCGAAACTGTCAAAGACAATGACAGGTACCTACTTTGTGCTCTTGATCTTCCAGAGCCGTCTGGCACTGCCTCTTCCTCCAGGCTTCTCTGATTTCACACACCCATCAACTACTCCTCCCCACTACCTGATGTCCAAATTCTGGCCTCTAGTCTTCTCTCTGTCATCTCACCCAAGCAAGTAGCCTCCTGTGCACCCTTACTCTGGATGATTCTCGAATGCATGTCACTGGCCCAACTCCTCTGAGGTGTAAATATCTATCTGCCTACTCCACATCTCCATGGAGGTGTCTCAATAACTCATTTCCTTCCCCATCCTTACCTATTGCCCATCTTGTTCAGTGACACCCCCATTCTCTTGACTTGCTCAAACCAAAAATCAAGGAGTCATTCCTCATGCTTCTCTCCCCTCACATGCATACACATGCCATTTAGCAACACCCCCTCTGGGTTCCTCCCCAAATCTGTGGGATTCTCAGGTGCTTTGCCCACAGTTACACTCCCTTTGTCCTCCTTGTGCAGCTCATTATTCCCCTCTGACCCCATCTGCTTCCCTCCAAAGTCATGTCTGCCCTCCTCAGAGTCCAGCTCTGGCTTTTCTCACTCCCATCACTCCCATCACAATGGCAGCTCTAGGAGGAGAGGGGTTATTTTCTATTTAGTTGACAATTATGTCTCCAGGGCCAACACAATACTTGGTGCATAGCTCACACACACAGGACATATGTGTAGAATGAATATATGTCTTCACCACTATAACTCTGATCTCACCATTGTCATCTCCAGCCTGGGCCAAAGCAATACCTTCCCATGATCCAGCCTCCCTTTCATGTCCATCCCAAACCCAGCACCGGGCCAACAAGTAAGACACTACTGAAACTCGTCTTTGCCTATTTGTATCTCATCTTCTAGTATGGTCTTCTTGCTTAGCACACTGTGATCACACACCTCTAATATGGCAAGCTCCTTCTCTCCTCACACCCCACTGCCTGGAGGGCTTCTTCCCCTCTACATGCTTCCCCTAATCATTTCCCCATGCAAATTTCAACCCAAATGTCACCTTATCAAAGCTTTGCCCCAATACCTTAGGTTCAGTAGTCCCCTCAACTACCCCACTAACTCATTCTCCATCCTTCATTTCTCCATTTCATTTTCACCAGCTTCAGGTTAATGGCTCAATGTCCTTGAATACTAAGAGCACTAATTCTTTTCTTCAGAGTAAAGGAATGCTATTTTTTTTTTCCCTATGCCCAGCCTAAAAATTCTTATTCCTTCTGTGCACTATAAATTAAGTATACTGATTTGCTCTTAAATAATAAGAAGTTTGTATAGGAGTATTGGATCTCAATCTCAGTCTATTATTGTAGTCAACATGTGCTTGATCTTACTATAAAGTGCTAGGCATCGATTTATTTACTATTGTTTCCATCAGATTACAAAAATTCAGGACCCAGTAAACTAGCACAAAGATACATAATTAAAGTATGCTGAACTTTCTTACTGTGATGAAAATTCAAGCAGTAAGGGAGAATCTGCTTCACTCTGCCATTTGGCTCCCCTCCATGATCAGTGATGACCACTCAGTTAACGGAAGCTGCACAGCAGAGCTGGAACTGGCAGCTCCTTCAAATGAAAGAGCAGTCTCCATACTTGACACTCCCCCCACCCATTTATAGAACAAAAGAAAAAAAAATAGGAAGAAACCACCCACTTATTCCGGAAGAGAAGACAAGCCCAAGCCACAAAGTACAAGGCAGGACTCAGCAAACAGCTGTTTTGGATTCTGTGACTGACACTGTTGGTCTTTGGGGTGTTTTGTGATAGAAACAGAAAAAAAGAAAACCAAGCTGGACCATGAATGATAGCACAGTGTTCAAAAGATGCAAGCCACAAACAGGAAAGAGAATACAACGTGCCTCATTTGTGCTGTGAAAGAATACTTGCATTGAGGGAGCAAATGCTCAACACAGTGTGCGAAGCAGAGACACACCCTTTGCTACTGCCCATTGACGATTAAAAGGATATTTTCAAAGCAACAGATATATGGGCATGCTCCAAAAAAACCTAAACGCTTTTAGAATGTAAGATCCCAGGATAGCCTACAAAGGATAATCAAAATTTATGAAAATGAAGGTAGGCAGAAAGCAGGGAGAAAAAGGATACTGCTGAGAGGGAGAGACAGTGGGCCTCAGTTGCAGTCCCCAAAACTGAATAACAACTGCAGAACCAAAACAGATAGAGGGCTGCTTATGGTGGCGCATGCCTATAATCCCAGTGGCTCAGAAGGCTGAGGCAAGAGGATCATAGGTTCAAAGCCAGCCTCAGCAATTTAGTGATGCCCTAAGCATCCTAGCAAGACCCATTCTCTAAATAAAATATTTAAAAAGGCTCAGTATGTGGCTCAGTGGTTAAGTGCCCCTGGGTTCAATCCCTGGTACCAAAAACCCAAAAAACAAAAAACAAATGGAGGCCTGCCAAAGGTGCTAGGGAGACTGGAGCCTCAGGCAGGAGCCTGGGACCAGAGGCAAAATTCATTTTCCAAAAGATACCATATCAAATAAAGTCTATCAGTTGAGATGGATGATGTTCCAATAACTCAGTTGTTTGTTTGTTGTTGTTGT